TTCATGAATATCAATGAGCTACCCACAGAACTAAGTTAGAAAAACAACTATACAAAAATTAATGAGCTGGTACAACTCAAAACAATTTTAAGATCAAATTAGAATCCAAATAAGACAACAAAATAATTTGATGAATATTCATGAACCAATTGAAACTAATGACTTGACTAAACACAAGACGATATTTTGGAATATAACACACTTCTTTAATAAGAATGGGCACATAACGTTTCGACACAATATACACGTGTCATCATCAGATGTAATGGCAAAAGAATAAAACATAACAAAAAATATACCAACAAGAAACAATATAGAGATTAAGAGAGACAATAGATATATTGGTATATATTTGTTATGTTTACATCTGATGATGACACGTGTATATTGTGTTGAAACGTTATGTGCCCAACCTTATTAAAGAAGTGTGTTATATTCCAATATATTGTCTTGTGTTTAGTTATATGTGCTCCTCCCTTCTATATGTCGTTAAATCTTAATGACTAGACTATTGATAAACCAACAAATATAATGATATTCCTCAACAGTATGAGAAACAAAGAAAATAAGAATTTACGTAAGCTTTGTTCTATTTACCTGAATCCATGTTATTTATAGTTTTTGAAGTTTATTTCATGTATTAATTAATATTATTTAAATCAACAAATACATGAATATTATAAACTCAACAAGTAAAACTCACAAACAGGAAATTATGAATATTAATGAGCGAACGTCACTAATTATGCACATAGATTAGAAATTAATTGAGAAAATATCAACATAAACTCACAAGTATGAAATTAATTAGACATTCAAATGTTTTTAATATTTTTCAGGTCATAATTACACAGCAAATTAGTTCGTTAAAAGTGTAATTAATAGGCGTTAACTAACCTCTATAAATAATCTAGGTGTCTGATAAAAACAGAAATAGAAGAAGTAAAAGAGCTACAAAAGGTGCGGGCACACGGAATGTCTTGGTCAGAGACTATTGTCGCCGATTAGAGTCTTGTCTTGAGTCTCAACGACTAGCACCGGCACATGAGGAGACCTTGTCATCAGATGATAAAACTATCGGAGACAATTATCAAACTTGTTTGATATTATAAATCCTGTCGGGGACGTGATTATCTTATTGTGGAAGCAAGGGCACACGAGAGATTTTTCTCTGTGACAAATTCTCCAACAAAGACCACTCGTGTGCCCACACTTTATGAATGCAACCACAATCTAGGTGTTATAAATAAGACATTACAATATATAAATATGAACTATATTATAACAGACGATGTTTCAACTAGGATAACTATACAGTGGTATAATTTATTTTCGTGTATCTAAAGGATTCAACACCAAATTTCATCAAAAGTAAAAACCGTAAATTTTGTCTTTAGAAATTTCCTCAAATATTCTACAAAATAAATAAAATTGGTTTGTTTCAATTTTCTTTATGAATCCTTCACTTTAACCCATAATTCACTGGTGAATCAATTTAGTCCTATAACTTAGACAAGAAAAAATCAAGTCTGAAAGCTAGACTCAAAACAAAAGCG